GGCTGAATAAGGATGGTGAAAGGATACAACCCTAGCACACATCTTTTCTGATTTTGAACCATGCAGTTTGCCCTTGTTCTGTTCAAACAAATGCCTCTTGGTCTATGTACAGGTTCCTCATGAGCACAATTAAGAGTTCTGGAATTCCCATTCTTCACAGTGTTGCCTATAATTTGTTCTGATCCACAGAGAAGAATGCCTTTGTGTAGTCAATAAAACACAAGTAAACATCTCTCTGGTATTCTCTGCTTTCAGCCAAGATCCATCTGCCATCAGTAATGATATCCCTCATTCCACGTCCTCTTCTGGATCCAGTCTGAATTTCTGAATTTCTACCCATCGATATACAGTTGCAGCCGTTTTTGAACTATCTTCAGAAAAATTTTGCTTGCATGTGATATTAATGATATTATTTGATAATTTCTGCATTCTGTTGGATCACCTTTCTTTGAAATGGGCACAAATACGGATCTCTTCCAGTGGCTGGCCAAGTAGCTGTCTTCCAAATTTCTTGGCATAGATGAGTGAGCACTTCCAGCATTGCATCCATTTGTTGAAGCATCTGAATTGGTATTTCGTCAATTTCTGGACCCTCATTTTTCACCAATGCCTTCAGTGCAGCTTGGACTTCTTCCTTCAATACCATCAGTTCTTGATCATATGCTACCTCCTGAAATGGCTGAACGTCAACCAATTCTTTTTAGTACAGCGACTCTGTATTCCTTCCACCTTTTTCTGATGCTTCCTGTGTTGTTCAATTTTTTGCCCATAGAATCCTTTAATCTTGCAATGTGAGGCTTGAATTTTTTCTTCAGTGCTTTCAGTTTGAGAAATGCTGAGTGTGTTCTTCCCTTTTGGTTTTCTAACTCCAAGTCTTTCTACATTTCATTATTATAATACTTTACTTTGTCTTCGAGCTACCCTTTGAAATCTTCTGTTCAGCTCTTTCACTTCAGCATTTCTTCCATTTGTCTTAGCCACTCTATGTTCAAGAGCAAGTTTCAGAGTCTCTTCTGACATCAATTTTGGTCTTTTGACACCCATACTGTTCTTGGTATCTGAGTTACCGATACAACACACCTGTATCAGTTTGCATTTGTAGCTGTTACACTTACATGATGATATGTACAAGGTTTGTTCTTCGTTATTTTCTAGTATTGTGCTTGAAGAGGAGCCCTGGTGGTGTAGTGTCTAAGTGTCTGGCTGCTAACCGAAAGGTCGGCAGTTCGAATCCACCAACTGGTCTGCAGGACAAAGATGTGGCAGTCTGCTTTCATAAAGACTTACAGCCTTAGAAACCCCATGGAGCAGTTCTACTCTGTCCTATAGGGTCACTATGAGTTGGAATCAACTGGATGGCAATGGTTTGCTTTGGTTTTTGGTTTTATTGTGCCTGAATATCTTCAGATGACATAGAAAATGTGTAATAAATTCTTCATTGTTTTGTAAGTATTGTTATGCCTAAGCATTTACATATTGATATACAAAATTTACTATGTTTTCCTTTTATCTCTCCTTTTTATTAATTTGGGCATTATATTGATTTGGCAATGGGATTATGTAGGTTACCATCATTTCAGAACAGTAAAGTGGGTGTTAAAAAATATTTGGTACATATAGTGACAACGGTTGCACAACATGAAGGTTGTAATCAACATCGCTAAATTATACACGTAAAAAATGTTGAATTGGCAAATTTTTGTTATGTATATTCTTACCATGATAAAAAAAATTTAATATAAACTTGTAACATAAACGAAATATTAGGTATGATGTACTTAAGAATCGCTGGGTTTAAACTATAAACAGAGGTGATAGGATGAGAGTAATTCAAGAGGAAGAATAATTCAAGGGAAGGAAGAGCTCGAGAGGAAAGTCCAAGCTGCTGACTTAAACAACTGGGTGCATACAGCATGATTATTCAAGCTAGAGAACACAGAAAGAAGAATAGTAGTAAAATTTTGGACAAGTTGATAAAATTGAGGTTTCACTGGAACCATCTAGGTATCTAGTCTACATCTGAAAATATGGGTTTGGAATAAAGGAGGGAGGTCTGAGCTAGAAATAAGTATACAGATTTCATGTCAACACAATATTGGTTCCTCAAGGTTTGGGATGAGAAAATCCACAGAAAGCATGCAGAATGAGAAAACACTGGTACTTTGGGAAGATAAACATTTTAGTGCTGGATAAACGCATAGATGAAGAGGGGCTCAAAATAAAGAGAGATTTACACAAATTAGGAAAGAGTGTAAAAGAAGCAGTCAATTCAGCAATTTGAATTTAAGAAGAAAGAAATGGTCAAAAGAAACCAAAATACTGGCAGAAAAGTTAGTTTGAGGGCAGAAGGATTTCTTTTCCTTTCAAACAAGAAATGAGAATGGATTCAACTATAGACAGGTTTGGTTGGGGGAGGTGTTGCAGGACAAAGTTAAGGGGGGTTATCATCTCCAACTACATATAGAATCATATTTGTTCTGTGAAGCAGAAGTAAAATCTTGCTGAGTGCAAGAGAGGTAAGGTTCATTTAGGAGTTGAGGACAGAGTGAAGAGAAATGTTTAAGGAAATAGACCAATGACAAATAATAAAATTGCTGAGCACATAGTCTGCTAAGTTCAGATATTATTAATCTGTAGCAGCACCAATCTCCAAAACTGTAGATTTTTTTTTCCCAACAGTATTCAGCAATTTAAATATAGAAATGGAGAAAAATGTACTTCCAAATTAATCTAAAGTTGAAAGGATTCAGACATCAAGTGTAGCAGGAAAATAAGGGACTGGACAGTACAGTCTGCGCTGGCAGGGAAAGAAAAGTGAACCTAGGAAGAAACTAATAACTTATTAGTTTCTTAGATGATTGGAAGAGAAAGGGGAGATCAAGGAACTACAGTGGCAGCTTGGAAATTATGTGTGGATTTTACTGGTTGTTTAGAACTCTAATGTTCTCCCTGGGAGAGTAAGGACACATATTTACTCACAGATATGTACACACAGTATTACACCCACCAGGTTAAAAAGTAGGTATAATGGACAGGCATATAAAAGCTAAAAGGATAGTAAAGTGTTATAAAAGAATAAAGCAAAGTAATAAGTTTTCAAAATCACAACAGTCCTAAGAATGTGAAAACTAAAGAAGTTAGCTGATTTTCCCATTAAGTCAGAACTGACTCCATGGCAACTGGTTTTTTTGTTTATTTTTTTGGTTTGTTGAGACTAAAATCCAAACCTGCTGATATTCAAGGAAATAGTCTAATCGTCAACCTTATTGACTGAAATAATTTACTCTTTTATCTTGACAGATGATTTATACATCATGAAAGCACAGAATAGTAGTACAACCATCAACATTCATTTATGAATCTGGCTACTTCCAAACTTAAATACAAAGATCAACAAATCACAGATGAGCAATATCCACTCATGCTCCTTAGAGCAAAGACTCAGTGAATAGCTTGTTAGACAGGCAAATTATCAGCAGGGGTTCGAACCTGAACAAACTGGTTCGAAGCCCTGGTCTACACAAAGCTTAATATATAGAGGACTTCAAGAAATGTCTATTGAACTACCTTGAAATAATCAGAATTTTTCTCCCAACCACTCTAAGAATCTCCTACCTCATTTCTATCAGACATTACCTTACTTCCTTCCCAAACCAGATCTTTCTCTCAATCTGTTCCATTTCAGTGAAAGGCAACATTCAGTTAAGCCAAAAACCTAAGCATTATCTTTGATTCCTCTCCTTCCTGCATTCACCATACCCAAACCTTCAGGAAGCCTGGTGGACTCTGTATCAAAAGGAATCCCACATGGTCTATGTTTCTCCACATTAACTGCCTCCACTCTACTCCAAGCCCCCATCAACTCTCTCTCGAACTACTGCAACAGTCTCTTATCTTATCCTCTTGATGACTACTGTACACATAAAATTCATTCTCCAAAAAGTGAACAGAGTAATTTTTTTTACAGTTACTTTCCTGCTCAAGTTCTCCACTGGCTTTCCATTGTAGGTAGATAAAATCCTATATAGGATAAAAAATGGCAAATTTTTTCAAACACTAAGCAGAAGAAAAGAAGTCGTATAATTGATTTGTTAAATGTCAGTTTGAATATCTTGTAGGAAAAGGAACCCTGCCTATTTCTCCAACCTCCTATCTTGCCAATCTTTTGCTGGCTTACCATTCTCCAGTCACGCTGGCCTTTCTGTTCCTTGAAAACATTTTTCTTTCCAGTTACATTTCAATTTTTGCTATTTAAAAAAAAACAGCTCTGCCTTTTTGTGCCACATAGTTGCTGACTTTAAGGGCAAAATTAGATAAGAAAATAGACTTAAAAAATGGTTATCTTATGATATCACTTTCTCACTTCAAGCCCTTGTCCCTTGTGGTTGCCCTCTGCCTAGAATGTTCTTCTCCCAATCTTTACATGGCTGGTGCCTTGTTTTATTTATGATTCACCTCAAGCATCACCTCGTAAATAAGGCCTTCTTTAACCATCTCCCGTTTTATTTTCTTCATAGTATTTATACTATATGAAATTACCTCATTCTTTTCTGTTTGTTTATGATCTGTCCCACCTCACTGCAAGAATGTAAGTCCTGTAAGAGTTCCATAAGGGACTTTTCTTGTTTACAGATACATTGCTAGCATCTATATCAATGTCTAGAATATAGTAGGTGTTCCATAAATATTTGTTAAATGAAAAAATAAACCAAATAGAGAGGGTATCTCTGGTAGTATGAATAAATTAAATATTTAATTACAGCTTACATACTAAGACTAAAAAACCTATATTAAAAGAATAAAATCAGATATTTAAACTTTAATTTCAAACATATAAGTGAATCTGTTGTACAGAAGCTGATTTACCATCTTCTATTTTATCATACTGCTAACCGAAAGGTTTGCAGTTCGAACCCACCCAGCAGCTCCAAAGACCTGGTGATCTGCTCCTGTAAAGATCACAGCCTAGAAAATCCTATGGGGCGGTTTTACTCTCTTACATGGGGTTGCTAGGAGTCGGAATCAACTTGACAGCATCCAACACAACAATATCTTATTGCCAACATAAATATTTTCTTGTCACATGACTACGCAGCAGCAGAGATAGGTCTAGGTAGCCAAGTCTTCTGATTCTTTATTCAATATCCCCGTGTCACATATATCATGCAGCCTCTCCTACACTTTGAAAAATATAATCATTAGAAAATAAAATATGTAATTAATTAAAAGATTTCAATTTCTATTTTAGGACAATGCATTCAGTAAAAACTGCAAACTTTTAAATTAAATATTACATACCGTAAGTACTAAATTGAAATAAAATTAAACATAAAATAAAATTACACATAAAAACATTGAACTTTCTTTCCACAGAATCAGGCAAACTTCATAGCTTTTTCAGAAAATTAATTATTCAGAAAAAAAGTGTAATTTTCCATCTAATTTTTTGGTCAAGGATAACTAAATCAGTACTTATATACAAGCCCAATCAGAAAGTGAAAGTAACCCATAGATCACATCATTTTAGGATAAAAATATAAAAAAGTAATAAT